TAGAGGGGATAGTCAGAGACTTTTTCCCAGGACGGAAATGACTATTACGAGGGGACATAATTTTAAGGTGATTGGAGGAAGATATAGGGGAGATGTCAGAGGTAGGTTCTTAACACAGAGTGGTGGGTGCATGGAATGCCCTACCGGCAGTGGTAGTGGAGTCAGATACTTTAGAGACTTTTAGGTGATTCTTGGATAGGCACATGAAGGATAGTAAAATGTAGGGTGTGCAGGGTAGATTGATCTTAGTAGGATAATTGGTCAGCACAACATCGTGGGCCGAAGGGCCTGTACTGTACTGTGCTGTACTGTTCTATGTTCCATGTAACGAGCAGCTTACCCTGGTTTGCCAGTCGGGAAACTAGCCACCTTTCCCATCTACTGGGGAGGCATGTGTTCAGGGAAGTGGTGGATTGAAGCCCTTAATCGGTCATTAATTACCTCTTAAGGGCTTTCATTACTGGTGTGCTGTGAAAGTCACCTATGCGCCTTTACTTTTAGCACTTACTTGAAGAGAAGGTGATACGTTTCTCTCTAGGCCAACTCATGCAATCATTTCCCTTTCTCACCATTCTCTCACCACTTCCAGGGAGGGAAAATGTCTGCCCAATACATCATCAAATGGCACCGTTGAGCAAACACTTCTCATCACAGGTTAATGTTAAAGTACCAAATGTACTAAAACTGTACAGTACTTGGTTATAGCAGTCACTCCAACTGAAGTTCCACATTTCATGTTTCAGATCTACCAAGAATGCGCAGGTTTAATTTATCTATGTTGCTTAACATTTTATGCCCCTCTGTAAGCTCCCTGCCAAGACCAAGGAGTGCAAATTTTTCTTTGTATTAAAAGTATTATTCGAAAGGAGGAAAAGAATTCTTGGGACGAGGGGCACTGCTGTGAGATTATTTAATTGCCCATATCAGAATCCCCAGATGCAGTTGATCAGATCAATTAAGACTCAATTATGTGGTATAGATCTGTAGTCACACATGGGTCAAACCATGGTCCATGGAGTAATTGAGAGGCGCTATAATGTAACAGGGAGGCACTATAGACTTTCCTAGATTAGTGAGTTATGTTAAACCAAATGGCACTATTCATTACCTTCTAATGATAGAAACCAAGGAACTGTCATACATTTGTCTCCAGCTTTTGTTTGAACAGATTTACTCCTATCATAAAAGGGATTGCATGAATTCATGTGACAAACCTGTGAGATAAATGTAATTCGTGCAAGTGAAAGTGTTGGTGAATGCCAGTCAGGTGTATTCTGATTTTTCTGATGAAGGGTCTAGGCCCGAAACGTCAGCCTTCCTGCTCCTATGATGCTGCTTGGCCTGCTGTGTTCATCCAGCTCTACACCTTGTTATCTCAGGTGTATTCTCCTACTCACTGAAGATAAGATTATATTTGAAGAGAAATAGATTGTAACTTGCATAATATCAAATGGCACCATTGAGCAAACACGTCATCACTGGTTAATATTAAATGTACTAAAATTGTGCAGTATTCTGTTATAGCAGTCATTCCAATTGAAGTTCCACATTTCATGTTTCAGATTTGCCAAGAATAGTTATCTCCAAGATATTCAGTGTTCCTTGAACTCTTCTAATGCTACTTCCCAAGAACCATAACCAGCACCTTGCAGTGCCACAAACATGTTCTCAACCTCTCTCTCTCTCTCCAGCATCATCAATCATCTTACACCGAAGTTGTTGAGGTCCACAATTTCATTCATCCTTTATCTCATGCTGCGCTTCTTATCCTTTATATCCTTTATCTCATTCAGCTGCAATAGATCTTGAATGCCAACATTATTCCAAATCCTTCTTTCCCTCATTTTACTCTGATCCATCCTTCCTTCCTTTCAATTTCATCATTTGCCTTGTTTTCATTATCTCTTCGCCTGCACTTCTCTGACCATGATTGACCTTCCCTTTATGAGGGCCTCAGTTTTATCCCCTGTGGACCACAATTCAAAGAATTTTGAATTCAACATGATACTGAGCTCTTCTTCTGTTGCTTTTGCTTCTGCACCCAATTCTTTGGCTAGGTGTTCAGCCCCCTGCAAAGTGAACTCTTTTAACTGCTCCAGAAATTGCCTTTCTTTCCCTATTCCATCTCATACTGTTTTTTTTTTTGGGGAAATGGTAAAATATGATATTCAAATATCTGCACCCTTTACTCAACGTAACTTCCCCTGAACATGCAAATTCAGGTCACTAACATTGTCATCAAACTTGCTGACAAAAGTTGCCATTGTTATTTGGTGACCTATCCTTGAATATGCAGATACTGAATACTTACTCTCTGCCTACCTCCCACTGCACAACAACCCACCAGCAAACAAGTCACCAATTATCAAACTTGTCACTGATCTTTATCTGGAGATCTTGCCTCCATGACCTCCAAATCATAGTTCCCCAAACCTACACAGCCCACCTTTTATATTTTGTTTCATTATTTCATGGGTATGGGTGACACTGGCAAGACCTTGAACTGAAAGGCCTGCTGGGTAACGTCAGAGAGCAGTTAAGAATCAACTACACTTCAATGAGTTTGGAGTCACACACAGACCAGACCACAGAAGGATGGCAGATTTCTTTCCCTAAAGGGCATCTGAGAACTGAATAGGTTTATATGACAGTCAATGATAGTTTAATTGACACTATAACTGGCACTACCTTTTAATTCCAGATTTATTAAATAATCACATTTAAATTCCACCAGCAATTGTGGGGGGATTTGTACCAATTTCTCCAGAATATTAACCTGGGCTGCTGGATTACTCATCCAGTGACATTGACAAATGTGAATTTGTCAAATTCACATATCAGATCACCCTAGTAGAAACATTCTTTCAGCCTGCTCCTGCCCCATTGGAACTGGTATCTTTCAAACAACTCATCTTGTCGCGTTTCTTCCGAACTACATTTATAATTTGAGCAATATCTTCCAAGGAATCAGAGAATTATTGCAGCATTGGAGACTATTCAGCTTCTGATGTCTGCACCAGCTGTCAGTAGGAGCAAATAGTCTCATTCCTCCACTTTCTTCCTTTCCACATAACATTACAATTCCCTGTTGAATTGACTGAACCTGCATCCACTACGGTCAGGCACTGCATTCCAGATTCTAACCCCTTGTTGAGTGAATAGGTTGTGCTCATGTCTCCATTGCTTCATTTGCTAGTTACATGATCTGTACATCAACACAATTTTAACATTTTCCAGTTTCAAAGATCAGTACAGCACTGGAACAGGCCCTTTGGCCAGCAAGCTTGTGTTGACACATGACGCCTTTCTAAACTAAAAACCTTTTGCCTCTACGCTGTCTGTTTCCCTATTGCAGTGATTGAAATGAGGGCAGACTGGTGGACCTCATGAATGAGTTCCCTGATTGGTTAATCTGGTTCAGTCAGGGAACCCTGGCTGACAGATATGTACAAGAGTGTCAGAGGTTCTGGTCACTCTGAAAGCTGGCTTTGAGGAATCTGGATCAGTGTCAAAGCCTTTCCATGTGTAAATAAACGGGAACTTGGTGATGGGATACTGGCCTTTGTGGAGTTATTTCAGTAGGAACGAGAGAAAAGCACGCTCCTAAAGAAATTCACTCACAACAGTCGTCTTTGAGTTAGGGTAATCATTTCTGGTATCATGCCATTATTTGGACAGCTTGACTCATTCAATCTTACCATTAAAGTTTTGACCCAATATGTTGAAAAAATGAGTTACTTTTTCCAGGCAAATGATAGATGAAAAGCAATGAATAATTCTCCAGCTATCTTGTAGACCTGCAGCTTTTTCAATTATCAGGAGCCTATCTTTCCCAGAGGTACTAGATACTAAAACAATGTGTTGACAGATTTAGTTAAGGCATATTATGACCCCAAGACTCCTCTAATTCTGAGATGCTATCGGTTTTACTCAGCAACTTGAGAACTATGGGAATCCTTATAGGGATTTTTGACTAGGTTGGGATGACTGGCTGTGGCATGTGGCTTTGGTTTAACCTTTAATGAGATCCCAAGACACCACTTGGTATGTGGGATTAATGATGTAACCATGCAAAAGCACCTACTATCTGAGGTCCAACTTGAGACAAAACCTGTTTCTCACATCTCCTTTAAACTTTCCATCTTTTACCTTAAACCTATGTCACCTAGTACCTGACATTTCTACCCTGGGGAATAGACTCCAATTATCCATTCTACCCATGCCTCATAATTTTTTAAACTTCTATCAGGTTGGCCTCAGTCTCCAATAATCAAGTGAAAACGAAGTAAGTTCATCCGGTCTCTCATCATAGCTAATATCCTCCAAGCCAGGCAATATCCTTGTAAACTCTTTCATAATACCTTCTTGAAAGCCTCCACATCCTTCTGATAGTGTGGCGACCAGAACTGTATGTAATATTCCAAATGTAGCCTAAATAAAATTCTCTACAGCTACAACATGACTTGCCAATTTTTATACTTTATGCCCTGACAGCTGAAGGCAATCATGCCATATGCTTTCTTGACCACCTTATCCACTTGTACTGCTACTTTCAGAGAACATCAAGATCCCTCTGTATGCAACTAAGATTTCTGCCATTTACTGTATACTCTCCTGCATAAGATCTTCTAAAATGCATCATCTCACATTTGTCCAGATTAAATTATATCTGACATTTACCTGCCCAAGTCTCCAGCCTATGCACATCCTGCTATGTTCTCTGGCAGTCCTCCTCACTATCTGCAGCTTGCCCAATCTTTGTGTCATCCGTAAACTTACTAATCAGACCACCTACATTTTCCTCCAAATCATATGCATATATTACAAACATCAGGGGTCCCAGCACTAATGCCTGTGGAACAACCTTCTGTAGTTTCTTACGGCCCTGGGCAGAGCAGTTACTGTACCAGACCATTATGCACCCAAATAGTATGCTTTCTATGGTGCATCTTTAAAAGTTTATGAGAGTCCTAATGAACGTGCCAAAATTCCTAACCCACCTGAGGAAGAAAAGGGTTTGTTGTGTCTTCTTGACTATCGCAACTACGTGGGAAGACCAGGATAGGTTGTCGATTATTGTCACTCCTAGGAACTTCATGCTCTCGACACACTCCACCTCAGCTCCGTTGATGTAGATGGGGGTCATGTCCTCCTCCTTTCTTCCTGAAGTCAATGATCAGTTATTTTCTTTTGCCAATATTGAGAGAGAGATTGTTGTCATTGCATGATGATAACATGTAATAGTAGTTGTAGCTATCATAAGTGTGCTAATAGAATATTGGTTGATAAAATAAAGGAAAAAATAATGCCTGTCTAAGAGTTGGCACACAGGCAACAGCATTTTGCTTTATTCACTCATGGGACATGGAGATCGCTGGTTTAGCCAGCATTTATTGTCTGTCCTTAGGTGCTCTTGAGAAGCTGGTGGTGGTGAACTGCTGCAGTCCATGTGCTGTAGGTAGACCTGCAATACCATTGTGAAGGAATTCCAGGATTTTGACCCAACAATAGTGAAGAAACCGTGATATAAATGCAAATCAGGTGATGAGTGTCTTAGAGAGGAATTTGCAGGTGGTAATGTTCCTATGAAATAGCTGCCCTTGTCTTTGTATACGGAAGTGGTCATGAGTTTGGAAGGCGCTGTCCGAGGATCTTTGGTAAATTTCTGCAGTCTATCTTGTAGATAGTACATATTGCTGCTACTAAGCATCAGTAGTGGATTGATTGGCACTATATCCACAAAAATTCAATCAAGTAGACTGCTTTAGTCTTGGATGGTGTCAAGCTTCTTGAGTGTTGTTGGAGCTGCACTCATCTAGGCAAGTAGGGAGTATTCAATTATACTCCTGACTTGTGCCTTGTAGATGGTGGACAGGCATTGAGGAGTCAGGAGGTGAGTTAGTGACTGTAATATTCCTAGCTTCTGACTAGTTCTTGTAGCTTGTTACTTTAAGGTGACTCCAGCTCAGTTTCTCCTCAATGGTAACCCCATGGATGTTGATAGTGGGGGATTCAGTGACGGTAACACCCCTGAATGTCAAGGAGCAATACTTAGATTGTCTCTTACTGGAGATGATCATTGCCTGGAATTTGTCTAGGCTGAAAGTTACTTGCCACTATTCAGCCCTTGCCTGGAAATTGTCCAGATCTTGTTGCAATTGGACGTGGTCTGCTTCAATATCAGGCACAAGCCACATGAATCCCTAATTTATGGGCATTGGCATCTGGCATCTGCTAACCCATCATGACTATCCTGGTACTCTGGTATGGTGGCAGACCAGTCATGAGGCACAGACTTGCACTGCAAGGCACACCAACAACTAGCATTTAGAACGCTGTAGCAGTGACACTTTGTGCACACGGACAGTCACCCAGCTCAATGATTGGACCAGGCCTCAGCTCAGGACTGCTTGCTTGCTCTCATAGCAATCACTCATTTTGTGGCTACCTGCATGTTCATGCCTGTGCCTTACCTTGCCTTACTATACCATTCCTGTTAGCATATTGGCACTCCAACCGTAGCCATTTAGGGGCACTTTGGCGAGCAACGGGGTGCTTGTCAGTATTGACTGGACCTGGGGAGCTGGCAATAATTTCCAATTCCTCCCTGGCCAGAGTAGAAGACAGCAATTGTAGTACCATTATTCAAGAAAGGCACAAGGGATAAACCAGGAAACTACAGTTGGTTGGTCCAACCCCAGTGTTGGGGAAACTATTGAAGCAATTTGAGGGATAGAAATAAGTCTGCACTTGGAGAAGCAGGGATTAACCAAAAACAGTCAGCATGGTTTTGTTAAGTCTAACCAACTTGACTGAATTTTTCAAAGAGGTAACCAGGTGTATAAATAAGGGCAATGCATTTGATGTAGTCTACTTGGAATTCAGCAAGATTCTTAATAAGGTCATATGTGGGAGTTTGATAGTGAAGGTAAGAGCTCAAGGGATCCAAGGAAATTTAGCTAATTGGATTCAGATTGGCTGATGCAGGAAGCAGAAGGTGATCGTCAAGGGGTGTTTTTGTGACTTGAAGCGGTCCCGAGGGGTTGCGCAGGGATCTATGTTGAGGACCTTGCTGTTTGTGGTATATATAAATGAGTTATACTTGAATGTAGGAGGATTGATCAGTAAGTTTGCTGATGGTACAGAAATTGGTGGGTGATAAATAGTGAGGAGGATAGTCATAGGTTACAAGACACTATAGATGGGCTGGTCAGATAGGTTGAACAATGGCAAATGGAATTCAATCTGTGAAGTGATGCACTTGGGCAGGACAAACAAGGCAAGCGAATACATAATAAAAACGAAAAGAACTGCGGATGCTGTAAATCAGGAACAAAAACAAAGTTGCTGGAAAAGCTCAGCAGGTCTGGCAGCATCTGTGAAGGGGAAAACAGAGTTAACGTTTTGGGTCCGGTGACCCTTCCTCAGAACTCAAAGGGAGGTGGAGTCAAGGCGAAGGGGAAAGCGAAGGGGAAATTTATGGTATGGAGATTAGAATATAATGTGGGAAACTCGAGTTCAATGGACAGAATTCAGAACTGCATCAGGCAGCATGACAGGCTACAACTCAAGGGAATACATAATGAATGGTAAGACCCTAGGAAACACCGAGGATAAGAGGGACCTTTGTGTGCATATACACATTAAGGTATCAGAACAGGTGAATAAGGTGGTTAAGAAGGCATATGGAATATTTGCTTTTATTAGACGAGGCATACAGTTTAAGAGCATGGAGGTTATGCTGGAACATTACTTAGGCCACAGCTATTGTGTGCAGTTCTGGAATCCACATTGTATGAACCATGTGATAATACTGGGGAGGATATTTACAAAGATGTTGCTTGGGCTTAAGAGTTTTAGTTATGAGGAGAGATTAGATAGACAGGAATTGTTTTCCTTGGAGCAGAGGAAACTGTAGGAGTTTATGATGGAGATGTATAAAATTATGGGCGGCATAGATAAGGTAGACGAGAAGAAACATTTCCCTTTGGTGGAGGGATTAATAACTAGGGGCCATTGATTTAAGGTAAGATGCAGGAGGTTTAGAAGGGAGGTGAGGAAATAATTTTTCACTCAGAGGGTGGTGGGAATCTGGAACTCACTGCCTGCAACATTTAAGAAGTATTTAGAAGTACATCTGCGATGCCAAAGCATCCAAGGCTATCGGCCAAGTACTGGAAAATGGGGTTAGAATTGTTAGGTGGTTGTTATTGACCAGTCAGTCAGGGGTTGGATCAGTCATATCTAAGAGCTGTTCATTGAGGTCTGGGACAAATGCATCCTGGGTGTCTGTCCATCGATCTTTCAGGAGGGTTCCAAGGTGAGGAGCAGTAAGGGCAATGGGGGGAATCATTGACAGAAAGGGAGGTGGAGTCAAGGCTGAGGAGAAAGCAGAGGCATTTATGGTATGGAGATTAGAACATAATGTGGGAAACTCGAGTTCAACGAACAAAATTCAGAACAGCATCAGACAGCAAGTCAGGCTACGGGTTTGGGTGTTAGTGATTGTGACCACCAGTGTGGCTTCTACAAGGGGAGTGTAAAGGAGTAGGGTGGACATTAACAAGATATAATGTCAGAGTTCAAGGTCAGGGAGGGCAGTTGTAGATGATGTTCAATGTGGTGAGTCTCCCTACTGGGGGAATGAGTTAAAATGAGTTGAAACCCTGGAATTCCCTCCCTAATGACATTGTGGGTCAACCCACAGTAGGTGGACTGCAGCAGTTCAGTAAGGCAGCTCACCACCACCTTCTCAAAGGGCAACTAGGAATGAGCAATAAATGCTGGCCAGCCAGCGACACACACATCCCGCAATGAATAGGAAAAAAGAATGAGCTGTTGGGGTAATGTGAGGTTATCAGGGAATATGCAGGCTCAGTCTGCGGTAACTGGCAGCCAGTGGGGTCCATTGCTGATGCTGTCCAGCGTGATCTGATTTGCCAACAATTAGTTTACCGTCTCTAGACGTTAAGTGCAATTAGAAAATGGCAAGAACAATGTCAAGGGTGGGCAGAGTAAGTGTCAGTTTGATACTGACAGTGTAGGATCCATGTTTGCTGGTTGCCACAACATTCTACTGATAAAAAGCATGAAACAGCCATTAACAAAGCGCGGCTATTTTGGATTTGCAATCATTGAATTGCCTATTTTATATGCATTCAGATTACAGTGATTCGGGGACAAATGCTGTTCAAAGGCTACATGCCATTAGCACTTGCAAATTGAATCTGGAGATCTCAATAATATTGAAGTTAGCAGCAATGATAGTTAAAGAAGAAAAAGCTACTCTGGCTAACAGGAAATGACTATTAGTTCCACCTTCAAAGGTCCTGTCTGAGCCACAGAAATGCCAGTCCTCATCTACTAAGTAAGTGTAACGATTGTGCGCAATGCAGTGTGAGGTTCAGCATTCTATGTGGGTGTAGGGTTTGGAGGGTGACATTGTGCTGCAGACAGGCCCTTTTTGTTGATGTGTGGTTACTCAGCTGGCACAGCACCTTCAAGTACTGCAAATGCTGACACAGAATGTGGATGCCCAATGCGGACGTGTCTCATTTGGTGCTGAATTGTGCTCAGCCCTCATCTGGAGAGTATGCCCCTGATAACTGTTCTGAGATCTAGGAAACTCATTTGCTCTTTCTGTGCCCAATCTTCCACCAAGGTGATATGTTGTTTGCCATGGCTATTTAGTTGAGAAGACAACGACAAATGCAGGAGGAGCAGGACCAATGGCAAGTCCAGAAACATCAGGCTGGCAAAGATGGGGAGCACCCAGTTCAGGGAGAGGTCACAGCTGCTGGGCCCTTCAGGATGTGTGGAATGAGCAAGAGTTACATAGCTTTCTGGCCATGAATCCATTTCCTGGGGATGAGTGAGTGCAGGGCTGATGCAGACTTTGTACGTCCCAGACACTGTGATGGAATGCTGGAGCAGAATCTCAGACAGGCAGCTATGAGAGGCCATCCTCTCCCAACAGCTGTGAAGGCACTGTATTGTGGAACGTCTTTGTGACTGGCTCCTTCCAGCAAGCAATGGTAATCATGGGCGAGATCTCTCAGTCATACACCCACAAATGCATCAAGATCGAAACTGATGCCATCTGTGCAAAGTCACACTGGTTTATTTCATTCTACCATGATGATGTCAGTGCTGCAGCCCGGCAG